TTCATTTAACAGAGTAAAGTTGTTGTGATTCATTTGCATTGTTCCAATCATCACTATTGGCCCTTGTTTACATGATTTTCTGCAAAATAACAGCTGGAAATATCTGAATTAACATCTGCTCCCCACGTTTAACAAGGAAGTTTTTTTTTAAACATAATTGTATTCATATATTTAACTGTGTTTTGTCATACGCACGTTGAGTACAGTAACTGTAATAATCCTAGTTTATTTTGAACAAGCGGCTCAACCTGCAGTGGAACTTTTACGGAAAATTACTGGGAAATACACAGAAGAAAAAGACGTGTCAGCAGTGTTGGGGAGTAACAGATTACATGTAATCAGAGTACAAATGATGAGTAACTGTATTCAGTTACAGTTACTGTTTCAGTGAGTGGTAATTGGATTACAGTTACTTTGTTGAAGTAAATGGATTACATGGCGGGATTTTCCTGTTTTCACATTTTGTGCTAAATCTCTTTTTTTTGTTGTTGTTGTTGTTTTTTTGTTGACCTGGTTTAGTCCTGGTTTTAGTCCTAGTTTAGTCCTGCTTTAGACTTGCTTTAGTCCTGGTTTAGACCTGGTTAATCCTGGTTTAGCCCAAAATGTGAAAACAGGAAAATACTGGCATGTAATCCATTTATTTCAACAAAGTAACTGTAATCTAATTACCACTCACTGAAACAGTAACTGTAACAGAATACAGTTACTCATAATTTGTACTCTGATTACGTAACTCCAGTACATGTAATCTGTTACTCCCCAACACTGTTCGTTCACTCGACGTTCGGCAGGTACTTTTTTATTTAACCAATCGCTGCTGTTAAGTGTTATGAGATCTGCGTCTTTACTCCAATGTGCGATGTTTAGACCAGAGGTGCTCAATACGTTGATCTCGATCTACCAGTCGATCGCCAAGGTCGTGTGGGTACATCGCCGTGTCTCGTCTCGGACTCGCGTTTGGACTCGGTCTTGTCTCTGACTCGAGGTCTGACACTCAACAAGTGTGATCATATTTGATTCCGGCCGCTGCTGTTGGTAATAAACTTGTAGCGGGTGCAGGAGCGTGTGGGGCGTCTCAGTGCAGCCTGTGCGCTCATTTGAAACCCGCGGAGACTCTACGGCGCATCACAAACACACACGCTCCCTATGCACGGCTCGTCTGCGACAGCGTGTGCCCTCGTGTACCAGCGTGCATCACAGGGCAGGTTCAACTTCCTAAACATCCTACCTGTCCACCTGCCTCACGTCAGCACGCCGCCCCTCGCCTTTTCACGCTCTCGCTCCTTCCTGCGTACAGCCAACACAAGCCCCTCCCACAGTGCGGCTGATTAGAAGAACAAGACCAAACGTGAAGCAAAAACCAGTCTAAATTTGTGTTCCAGTGTTGGCACAAAGCAGGTCTACAGCATAGAGCGGATCTACAGAACAGACCTACTGCCACATTTGGCTGAAGTTTGTCTAACAAAAGTGACAAATGCATCTGTGTTTGTCACGATGTGCGTTTGGTTTGGTAAACGTGCAGAGGCTGGTAAATATCACTGCAAAACCAGAAAAGAATGTAACTCCAGTTTGGAACTTTAAAAAACAGGTTTAAAAATCTTCCTTCACTTTTTTTACAGTTTTGTGTAAAGTGCCAGAGGAAGTTCTCTTAAAGAAGAGGTTCTCAAACTGTGGGGGAGGGTCCAAAAAAGGGGCACAGAGTGTTTCAGTGCAGTTTGTTTGGCTTTGTATTAGGTAGATCATTTTGACTTGGTCATTTTGTAAGTAGCTCACATGATGAAAAAGTGTGAGCACCTCTGGTTTATAGTGGTGTGTGGCGTGAGCATGACCGAGGCTCGCGCTTCTTGAATGGACCGGCAGAGCGTACGAGTGTCTATGTTTTACTGTATGTGAAATGAACGCTCGGAAGGCGACCGAAGTGAGTCAGGAAGCAACTGCCCTGTTATTTAGTGCATCACGGCAAATAAAGCCACAATTCTTGAACAACGAACTGGCACGTTGATTGAGCCCACGCGCTCACGGTGAGGCTCCGAACAGGGAGTTAAACCCTGAGCAACGAGTGGCGTTTTGTTACAGACGATTAAGAATGTGAACATGCACGTTGAGTGAATTTTGGAATGAATGAGCTCTAGAGTTTGCATTTTTATCAAGGCTCCTTAGTTTGTTTACTATATGATTGTTCTAAAATCTAAAATCAATCGGTGGATGGCGGGCGAGTGCGGTTTGGAAAATTGGTCAAAACTTTGGGTGCAAATGGACGGCGGGCGGATGATGAGTTTTGTGTCGCGGTTGCGGATGAAAAAATAGCCCATCCGTGCATCTCTGGTCGTGACGTATGTAATGCTCCAAATCCCGTAGGAAGAAGAACAATAACATTTTAACCCTTGATAAAATTCACCAAACATTCTCTTTGTTCCGGCTTTAAATCCTCGATCTCGGGAATCGTCGCCAACACAGAATGTCTGTCTTCATCTACATCCATCTCGACGCTTTGTTTACTGTTGTGCTGTTCCACAAAAGACACAGACAAACGCCACCAGTTTGATGTCATGATTTCACAGCTCACAGCTGATTGGTTGGTGCGCCGTCTACAACTTCCGAGGTTCTTGCAAACCGTCTAGTGCAGGGGTGTCCAAACTTTTTTCATCAAGGGCCACATATCTAAACACAGACGAAGCAGAGGGCCGATCGAGGGCCGTAGACTGATACTCAGTACAGGGAATAATTGAAATATGTGCATGTTTAACACGTTAGAATGAGGCATCAGTCTTTATTCATGCTAAGATCCTTAAAACCAAACACCTAATATGAAATATTGGCTTTATCAAGGTAGATTTTTTTAAAAAACTTGCAGTAAAAAATAATTTTTCAATTGATGCAATGTAATTTGGGCCAATTCACCTGGAAGTCTGAGGGCCAAGAAAAATTTGTCTGAGGGCCGCATTTGGCCCCCGGGCCATAGTTTGGACATGCCTGGTCTAGTGTATTCTGATTCCTGACCTAGTCGCTGGAGAGAAATGAAGTTGAGCGGAGGCACTAGGTGGCGCCAGACTGAGTACGAGTCCAGTTCTTCACTCACTGATTCTGCAGAAACACAAAGGCCAATGAAAAGACCTTTGAGAACAAAGAGTTCTCAAATAAAAAAAATAAAAATAATCGCTAATTTCAGTCCTGGATGAAACTGAACTGGCCAAAGGAGAAAATGGACACACACACACACACACACACACACACACACAGATGTTTGTGCAAAACCTTTTCTGCAGCTTTCAGTTTAAAAGTGAAAAGTCTCACTAAAGACACTTCATCTTCTTAAAAATGAAATGTTGAAATGTAAAAAGTAAAAGTCAGATTCCTGCATGTGCAAGCAGCAGTAGCACACACACACACACGTACAGACACACACACACACACATGTACAGACACACACAGACACACACACACACAGACAGAGACACACAGACGTATGGACGTGTGCAGCTCACAGAAGTAAACCTCGTGTTATTGCAGATGTGTTTGATGCTTTGGGGTAAACACGCTGGTTACTGTGTTTTCTATTTGTCACTATGGAACATCTCCGTCCCACTTTTGAACTTGGCAGCCTCGTTTCTTCCTTATTTATTTGTCTTTTTAAACCATCTGTGAAATCCTGACGATCAGAATGTAATGACATCACATGATGACTTTGTGGAAAGTTACATGGACTAAAGTAAAAGTTGATTTGTCAGAGAGAGAGAGAGAGAGAGTGACCCTGCCAGAGCCGAGGCGTCCTTCCTCCGCCTGTCCCCGCTCCGCTCCAGCTGCAGACGGCCCACAGCAGCCCCCCGTGACGGACAGCTCCTCTCTCCAATCCCGTGGCGGAGCGTCGGGCGCGCGGGGAGGGCGGGCCGTGTGCCAGAGGAGGGAGTGCGCGGTGAATGGATGACGTTGGGAGGCTGGCGCCGGCATGTCTGGGACTGGCGCCTTAGATCAACACAGCTGTGCGGGGATAGGACACGCAGCTGGCCCGGGCCTGCATTCCTCCACAAACACGAGTGTGAGAAACGGCCAAAATAAGAGCGAAGAGGAGCACAACGGGAAAAGCGCTTTCAACTGCACTTAAACTCTACTTTCTCTGCGCGCTCTCTGGAGACGAGCGGCCCCGGCGTGCGCGCTGCGTGCCGCGCGGTGCTTGGGTGCGCGCGCTTCTAATTAGATCCGTGCATGTTTACGCACAGAGCTCCTGATCACTCACGTCTTATCTAGAGAAAACAGCGCGGTCATATAGAGCGCACCGACCCTTCACCCACATGTACATCTTTACTTTATCACTGTGCTCGATAGCGCTTCGCCATGTCCCAGTTTTCCCACGAGAACGCGCGCATTTACGCATTCACTGAACTCATCCAGACGCCCTCAGCCACGGCCGTAACACCTGCACCAACAGGGCACGTCCTGGAGAGGAATTATCCAGCACATTACGCACAACGTTTCAGTTCTTATCGCGTATCAGCGTCAACACGAGCTTTGCGCAAAACCTCACGCGGCGTTTTCTCTCCTGAACGCGAAGTAAATCAACATTATAAAACGTTCATGGATAATTAAGTCACGTGATGATCTAATTTTAAGATTTCCGTTTGTCTTAACTCTTAAAAAACGCCACAACAAAGCCTCCCCCCCTCCCCACAACACTCCCATTAGTTTAATCATAATAACAACGCGCTCTAATTTGGAAAACGCGCCCCTCCCGCGATTATTTATGACATTATCTTTGACTCTGTGTCCATAACGCGGCTCGTTCCATGTGAGTGTACTTTCTCCGTTCCTTTTAGCGACGACCACCTCAAACAAACAGCCCTGACAACCGCTCCGGGGCGTCCCACTCCGGCTGTTCCTCATTCTTTCCGTGGCCCCTCGCAGCCAATGGGCGCGGGGCTGCTGCGCGCTCGGCCCAATCGCGTCGCGGTGCGAGGGGAGCGGGGCGTGTCCGCGGGCGCAGCGTATAAAAGGAGCCCTACTGTACCCGCTGGTGACAGTACCGCTGCGTGTGGACCCTAGGACGTGCCCGAGCGAGCCATGAAAGCCGTGAGCCCCGTGCGCGCCGTGAGGAGCGGCTACAAGGCGGTGTGCTGCGTGTCCGAGCAGAGCCTGGCGATCAACCGGAGCGAGCCCGGGAGCGCGCTCTGCGACATGAACGACTGTTACTCCAGACTCAAGGCGCTGGTGCCGAGTATCCCGAGGAACAAGTCGGTGAGCCAGGTGGAGATCCTGCAGCACGTCATAGACTACATCTTCGACCTCCAGATCGTGCTCGAGGCGGAGGACAAGCTGCTCACGCTGCAGGTACGTACGCCCCCTGCGCGCTCCGACCACGAACTGCTCACAATACTCGGTCTGTTCCATCACAGGAGCGAGATTACCAAAAAAAAAAGAACAGGCTGTCTGCATATTTTCATCATTTTGTCGATAGCATTTCTGAAACTAGACACTTATTTGAGTAAATATCAGTCAAAATTCCAAATTACGCACGGGAAAAGCACAAACAGTGAGCTTCTCTGAACAATGTTAGTGTCGTTTTGAGCTCATGTTCTGTCTTCAGTGTGGAATCGTAATTGGTATCGAGTATCGAGTCTCAAAAGTTGATATCGAAATCGAATGTTTGACGATAATTTGACGTGTCAAGATGAATCGACGCAAATAACGAGTTTGATTTGATTTTGTTGCTTACGTTACGTGCAAAAAGTTGTTGTTTTTCTTATGTTTTAAGTGTAGACAGATGATCTCAGTAACAGCACTGAAACTAGACACTTATTTGAGCACGTCAGTCAAAACTCCAGATTACGCACGGGAAAAGCACAAAATTTGAGATTTTCTGAACAATTTTAGTGTCGTTTTGAGCTCGTGTTCTGTCTTCAGTGTGGAATCGTAACCAGGTATCGAGTATCGAGTCTCAAAAGTTGATATCGTGACAACAAAACAACATCTAGGTCACTTAAAATGACTTTAATGTCAGATATTCTTAATTTTTTGAGTCGATTCAGCTTGACAAGTCAAATTATCGAGTTTGGTTTGGTTTTGTTGCTTATTTTACGTGCAGAAAGTTGTTGTTTTTCTTATTTTTAAGTGTAGACAGATGTGGTTTCATATTTTAAGGCAGATAATTTTGCTTAACTGACTCAAATCGTGATAAAACTTGCTTAGATTTTGGTTTCTGCAGTGAATCTGAAACACTACTAATAGTTATATGAATACAATTTTAGTGTCGTTTTGAGCTCATGTTCTGTCTTCAATGTGGAATCGTAATCGGTATCGAGTATCGAGTCTCAAAAGTTGGTATCGTGACAAAAAAACAATATCTAGGCAACTTAAAATGACTTAAATTAAGAATATTTGACGTTATTTGAGTCGATTCAGCTTGACAAGTCAAAATATCGAGTTTGATTTTTAATTTTACGTGCAAAAAGTTGTTTTTTTTGTTATTTTAAGTCTAGACAGATGTGTTTTCATATTTTAAGGCAGATAATTTTGCTTAACTGACTCAAATCGTGATAAAACTTGGCTAGATTTTGGTTTCTGCAGTGAATCTGAAACACTACTAATAGTTTTACGAGTACTAATTCAGTATAGGATGAAAAGCACACAATCTGAGCTTTCCCGAACAGTTTTAGTGTCATTTTGAGCTACGGTCAGATCTCATGTTCTGTCTTCACTGTGGAATCGTAATTTGTATCGAGTATCGAGTCTCAAAAGTTAGTATCGTGACCAAAAAAACAATGTCTAGGCAACTTAAAATTACTTTAACGTCAAATATTCTTTACTTTTTTAGTTGATTCAGCTTGACAAGTCAAATTATCGAGTTTGGTTTGATTTTTTTTCTTATTTTAGGTGTAAAAAGTTGTTGTTCTTGTTATTTTTAAGTGTAGCCAAGTGTGTTTTCATATTTTAAGACAGATAATTTTACTTAACTTACTCAAATCTTGCCTAGATTTAGTTTTTTGAACAATCTGAGCTTTCCTGAACAATTTTAGTGTCATTTTGAGCTACTGTAACATCTCATGTTCTGTCTTCAGTGTGGAATCATAATTGGTATTGAGTATCGACTCTTAAAAGTTGGTATCGTGACAACAAAATGATATCTAGGCAACTTAAAATGACTTAAATTGAGAATATTTGATGTTATTTGAGTCAATTCAGCTTGACGAGTCAAATTATCGAGTTTGATTTGATTTAGTTTCTAATTTTAGGTGTAAAAAGTTGTTGTTTTTCTTATTTTTAAGCATAGTTTTCATATTTTAAGGCAGATAATTTTACTTAACTTACTCAAATCGTGATAAAACTTGCCTAGATTTTGGTTTTTGCAGTGAATCTGAAGCACTACTAATACTTTTACGAGTACTAATTCAGTATAGGATGGTACACACACACACACACACACACACACACACACACACAGTGTTTGATTACATTTGTTTTGTTCTTTTCCAGGCGTCGGATCTAACGCACAACTTCTCCACAGACGACAAAAAACACTTGTGCCATTAGACCAGCACATCGTCACGGTGAGTCCAACACGATTTCGTACTAGAGCCCGACCGATATATCGGTTGGTTGATATTATCGGCCGATATGTTTGCTGATATGTGCCGATATTTCACGTGGTTATAAAACTTAGACTCTCGACATTATGTTCATTTAATCCAATTTACAGACAGATAAATGTCCAAATATGTGGCTCCGCGTCAGTATTTATCTGCGGAGTCATTTGTCTGTGTGTGTTCGTACTGTCCCTGAACACACCACAGAGTCATGTGTGTTTGTTTACACCCACAGACACAGATCCAAACACTGAGATTATTTTCTTTTTACAGACAATCGGTTTGAGTCTGGATTAAAAGGACATTTATTAGTGCAGACTTGTGATCTGAGAGGAGCCTGTGTGAGGCTGAGTGTTGGAAATATGTCAATTTTGAAGATAGTTTTGGTTATTTCTGATTGGTTAGTGATTAGCTGCTGTTTCTCTCACACATAAACAGTCTGTTTTCTATTGGTCTAGTGTAAAGTGACTGTATTGATCGTATATTTGTTACTGGACCTGCATTGATCTGTAAATGAGCTGTGAACAGAGGTGTGAATGATCGACATTTACATATATAATTAATTACGCAGCATTTACGGCTAAAGACTATAATAGCGGTAGTTTCTTTACTCTCTAGTAGTGATGAGTCGGTCGCGAACGAAGCGGCTCTTAGATCCGGCTCTTTGAAGCCAACGACGGGAGCCTGATCCTTATTGGGAGCCGTGTTTTCTCTTTCTCTCACTTTGTTTCTCTTCACGTCGCGTTCAGACTCGTGGGAGTTTGACAGCGGCTCAAAACGAAACTTTCATAAATCTGTGTGTGCGTAGGATAAAACAAAAACGTACATGTTTGTCTGTAGTTCAGCATAAAATAAATAAACCAGGACTAATCTTGGGCTCGAGAGACGAGAGAGATCGAGACCGAGTCCCGACACTCAGTCCTGGTTCAGTTCTGGTTTAGTCCTGTTTTACACATGGTTTAGATCTGTTTTAGTCCTGGTTTAGTCCTTTTTCAGTCCTGGTTCAGTTCTGGTTTAGTCCTATGACATATGATATAAAGAGGCAGAATAACTATAAATGTTGCCTAAATAAACCCAGTTTCAAATCCACTAGAACCAAACCTAAGTTTTTTAATCAATTCAAGATTTACAGTGAATTTTTACATCATTAAATATATCGGCAGCTCCAACTCCCATTTTATCGGTTTCATATCGGTCCACAACAAAATCCATATCGGTCGGGCTCTACTTCATACTTCATACTTGACACTTGGTAGTACTCAGTGTTGGGGAGTAACAGATTACATGTACCGGAGTTACGTAATCAGAGTACAAATTATGAGTAACTGTATTCAGTTACAGTTACTGTTTTAATCAGAGGTAATTGGATTACAGTTACTTTGTTGAAGTAAATGAATTACACGGCGGGATTTTCCTGTTTTTACATTTTGGGCTATATCCCCTTTTTTTTTTTTTCCAGTAATTCCACTGATTGCCAGACACTAAACCAGGTCTAAACCAGGACTAAACCAGGACTAAACCAGGTCTAAACCAGGAACCAGGTAAACCAGGTCTAAACCAGGTCTAAACCAGGACTAAAACCAGGTCTAAAACCAGTTCTAAACTAGGTCTAAACCAGGTCTAAACCAGGTATAAACCAAGTCTAAACCAGGTCTAAACCAGGACTAAAACCAGTTCTAAACCAGGTCTAAACCAGGTCTAAACCAGGACTAAAACCAGGTCTAAACCAGGATTAAAACCAGGTCGAAACCAAGACTAAAACCAGGTCTAAACCAGGACTAAATCCTAAAAAGTCTGGACTTTTTATTTTCTTTTATCAGACAAAACATCTTATGTGAAGATTTCCTCGTCTTTGTTTCTCTACAGCAAATCAAGTAATCCAAAGTAATCAGATTACATTACTCACTTTAAGTCATTTAATGGATTCTGTTACAAACTACATTTTGTTGTGTGTAATCTGTAATCTGTAGGGGATTACATTTGAAAAGTCACCTTCCCGACACTCGGTAGTAGTTTATTTGTGGTAGTTTTTGTGTAGTGTGTGTGGGTCTCTGGTCTGTCCCTGCCTCGTGAGCTATCTCCTCAGGGTTAATCAAAGTTCCATGCCTGGCGCCAGTCTGTCTGCTGCCTCTGCCTCTGCCTCTGCTGCTGCTGCTGCTGCGTGGGGCCGGGGAGGGACGAGGAGGGACGAGGGGAGAACAGGGAGGACGGGGGAGGGACGGGGAGGGCAGCGCTTTTCACTCCACTTTCTCTCTTTCCCTTGGTTTGACTTGGCTTTGTTACTAGAATCAGGACTAAAACCAGGACTAAAACCAGGACTAAAACCAGGTGTAAACCAGGCCTAAAACCAGGTCTAAACCAGGCCTAAAACCAGGACTAAACCAGGCCTAAAACCAGGACTAAACCAGGTGTAAACCAGGCCTAAATCCAGGTCTAAACCAGGCCTAAAACCAGGACTAAACCAGGTGTAAACCAGGCCTAAATCCAGGTCTAAACCAGGCCTAAAACCAGGTCTAAACCAGGCTAAACCAGGACTAAACCAGGCCTAAAACCAGGACTAAACCAGGCCTAAACCAGGCCTAAAACCAGGTCTAAACCAGGTCTAAAACTGGTCTAAACCAGGTCTAAAACTGGGTCTAAACCAGGTCTAAAACCGGGTCTAAACTGGGACTGAACCAGGAGGACTGAACCAGGACTAAACCAGGACTAAACTGGGTTAAAACTGGGTCTAAACTGGGACTAAACTAGGACTAAACCAGGACTAAAACCAGGACTAAAACCAGGTCTAAACCAGGACTAAACCAGGGCTATACTAGGACTATACTAGGACTAAACCAAGACTAAAACCAGGACTAAAACCAGGACTAAACCAGGACTAAACAGTTTCTCTCTTTCCCTCGGTTTGACTTGGCTTTGTTACTAGAATCTTATCTCGCCGCTGAATCGGGACCAGGCAGAGTTGGTAAAGCTGCCAAAAACTGAAGAGTCGGAGCCGGAGTAACGCCACTTTAAAGTAATAATTACTTTAAAGTAATAATACTCGAGTAGTAGGTAAAAAGTGCTCCTAGAAAACTTCAAAATACAAAAACGGCTTCAGATTTTCTTCAATAATTCACTTTATTTGGAGATATTTTCAATCCTGAAGCCTTCACTCGCTCTATTTCTGCCTTTATTTGGTTAAAAATGTGTCCAAAAATCACTCAACTACTGAAATATTTGTTGGATTTCTGGATCATGTTTGTCCGTTTCTGTTTTTTTCTCTTTTTGTCTTGTTTTTTTGTCTTTGTGAGTGAATTCTAATGATGGATAAGTACGTTTACGGCTCTTTTTGTGCATCTTTTTCTCTTCTCTTGTGATTTCTCTTGACTTTTTTGGGCTAAACCAGGTCTAAACCAGGTCTAAACCAGAACTAAACCAGGACCTAAACCAAAACCTAAACCAGGACCTAAACCAGGACTAAACCAGGACTAAACCAGGTCTAAACCAGGTCTAAACCAGGTCTAAACCAGGACAAAACCAGGACCCAAACCAGAACCTTAACCAGGTCTAAACCAGGTCTAAACCAGGTCAAAACCGGGTCTAAACTAGAACTATACCAGGACTAAACCAGGTCTTAACCAGGACTAAACCAGGACTAAACCAGGTCTAAACCAGAACTAAACAATACGACACTAACAGTAGTGTGAACATTGATCTCATACAAAAATCATTTTTCTATCAATAATATTTTTAATCTGGTTAAGGAAAGACTTTTTATTTTCTTTTAGCAGGTAAAACATCTTTGTCTTTGCTTCTCTGCAGTAAAACAAAAGTCTGTTCACGGAGACTTGGGCTCAACAGACAAGAATTTTCAGGATGTGGTTGGTTCATTCATGTAGTTTTAAGAAGCATGACAATATCAAGTAATCCAAAGTATTCAGATTACATTACTCACTTTAAGTAATTTCATTTGAATCTGTAATCTGTAGGGGAATATATTTTAAAAGTCACCTTGCTCGTGCTGGTTTGTGAGTTAAAACGACAGATTCATAAAGTTTTGGAAACTCTCTGGCCTCCTCTCGCTTGCATCTTTCCTTTTTTTCCCGTCTTTCATTCATCGGTTTTCTCGCTCGGTCGCGCAAGTGCTGAAACGTTGACTTAAATCGTGTTTAATTCTGAATTCTGTTTCTGTTTCTCGACGGCAGGTGCAGCAGGGAACACATGGCTCCACTTCGCTCCGGGCCAAAGGGCGGAGGGTGCAAAGGTATTCGGATAAGGAGACGAGCGAGGGAAGAAGGAGAAGAAGAAGAAGGAGGAGGAGGAGAGAAGGAAACGAGGACACAGGAGCCAGAGGGGGAGTGGTGGACCCTCTCGCCGTGATCACACAGACTTGGATTTTTTGGGGGGTTTTTTTTGTTTTGTTTTTTGTTTTTGGACAATGAGTCTTTGCCAAAGCACAGGCGGGATCGGAGAGGTCGCTGTACTGACCTGCACCTACATTCCAGATTTCGTGGACTCCTCACCAACCTCACCCCCCAAGCTCTTGTTAATCTTTTATAGAATGAACGTTTCGCCAAAGTGTTTGCGATCCGTCTCTGGCGTCGGATCACCGCAATCCAGTTTGTAAATTACCTATAGCTGTTCAAACATCTTGATTTTTTTTAAAATTTGGTTTGAAATCTAACGTAAAGTGCATATGACAGGTTAGACAAGACGTTTCACCAAGTTTACATCATTAAAAGTTAAGATTTTTTAATTTACGTCAAGTTTAAATTGACATTTGGCTTTTTTCCTGCACTTTTCTTACAAATCTTCTTCCACAGCTAAAGCGATAATCAATAATCAAATCAGAATTACAATAAAAAACGTAAAAATCCGTCATATGCATTTATGTTTTTTAACAATGTGAACTTTTTTCTCTGACGGTTCATTTTCTAGTAACAAATTTGGTTTAAATCTGATGTTTTGTAAAGATGTCTCGTACGCGGAGGCTGTCCGATGCTTGAGAGGAGGCTGAACTGCTTTGGCGAAACGTCCCGTCCCGTTTCTGATTAAATTCTGAAACGTCCGGACAGTTATTGGACTGTTTGTGATCACGTACTGAAACGTCTGAACTGTTTATGATCAAATACGGAAATATCTGAACTGTTTCTGATCACATCCCGAAACGTCTGGACTGTTTGTAATCAAATACTGAAACGTCTAAACTGTTTGTGATCAAATACGGAAACATCTGGACTGTTTCTGATCACATACTGAAACGTCTGGACTGTTTCTGATCACATACTGAAACATCTAGACTGTTTCTGATCATATACTGAAACATCTGGACTGTTTTGGACTGTCTGTGATCAAATACTGAAACGTCTGAACTGTTTGTGATCAAATGCGGAAACCTCTAGACTGTTTCTGATCACATACTGAAACATCTAGACTTTGTGATCACATACTGAAACGTCTGGACTGTTTTTGGACTGTTTCTGATCACATACTGAAACATCTGGACTGTTTTGGACTGTTTCTGATCACATACTGAAACGTCTGGACTGTTTTGGACTGTTTCTGATCACATACTGAAACGTCTGGACTGTTTTTGGACTGTTTCTGATCACATACTGAAACATCTGGACTGTTTTTGGACTGTTTCTGATCGCATACTGAAACATCTAGACTTTGTGATCACATACTGAAACATCTGGACTGTTTTTGGACTGTTTCTGATCACATACTGAAACGTCTGGACTGTTTTGGACTGGTTCTGATTAAATATGGAAACATCTGGACTTTCTGATCACATACTGAAACGTCGGAACCGTTTCTGACCACATACTGAAACGTCCGTCCGGATATTTTTTGCAATGGCGAATCCCAACTCGACTCTCGGATTAACTGTGACGTTTGTGGGGAGTGACGCTTTCCACAAACTCTGCTCTGGGTTTTATAAACTCGCATTTTAATCATGTTTATGTTTTTATGCCGAGCCGGGCTGGAACGTTTCAGCTCCCCGGCCACTGTTGCTCGTCTGTACAGGCTGTCACCTTTTTTTTTTTTTTTTTTTTTTTTCATGTAATAAAAATTTGTGATTATTGAGAAACTTTCGGATAATTTTTTGTGTTCAAATTGTTCAGAAATATTGAAAACCAAGCGGAAAAATTGAGCAGAAGTGGGTCGTACTTAACGTTTACCCGATTAAATTTACTTTTTTAAATAAATTGTATGTTTCACCAGCGTAATTTTACTCCAGCGTTTCAGTTCTACTTTTACTCAAGTACCCAAATACTTTTAAACTTCTACTTGAGCAGTATTATTTGTATTCTATTACTGATGTCATGGAATAAACGACACTTTTAAAGAGCGGATGTGTGAACGTTTTGTCACCGATGGTTTCGCCGCTTCTCTGAATTCCTCCCTGAAATGAAATCAGCAGAATTCAGAAGATTCAGCAGGATTTAAGAATTTGAGAAATGAGTCAGAGGTTTTTACTCCGGTCTGTTCAGGTTGGACTTTCCCCCCCAGAACTGAACCAGGTCTGAACTAGGTCTGAATCAGGACTAAATCAGAACTAAAACAGGACTAAACCAGTTCTAAACCAGGTCTAAACCAGGACTGAACCAGGACTGAACCTGAATGGAACAAGGACTAAATCAGGTCTCAACAAGGTCTAAACCAGGTCTGAATCAGGTCTAAACCAGGTCTCAGCCAAGTCTAAACAAGGACTAAAACAGGACTGAACCAGGACCGAACTTGGACGGAACCAGGTCCAAACCAGGACTAAACCAGTTCTAAACCAGGTCCAAACCAGGACTAAACCAGGACTAAACCAGGTCTAAAACAGGTCTAAACTAGGACTGAATGAGGTCTAAACTAGGTCTGAATCCGGTCTCAACCAGGTCTCAACCAAGTCTAAACCAGGTCTAAACCAGGACTAAACCAGGTCTAAACCAGGTCTAATCCAGGACTAAACCAGGACTAAACCAGGACTAAACCAGGACTAAACCAGGTCTAAACCAGGTCTAAACCGGGCCTAAAACATCAAAACCTTTTGTCTTTTTAGACTCACTCTGTTGGAAAAGTAACTATTAAGTACTTTTACTCTTTACTTTACTTTTTACTCTTGACCTACTCCACTTTTTACTTACTTTTACTCGAGTAAAAGTCGAGTACTGTTACTTTGATACAAATAGTAAAACTCTGCTGCAAAAAAAAGCTTGAAAAACAGTTTGTATTTTCTCATTATTTAGATTTTTAAGTAGAATATTTGAGTAAATATTCGCCGCAGTTTAACAAAGACGTAACTTCGAGACACAATGACACAATTCAGACGTTTGTTTGTTTTTTTTCTTCAAACTCGATGTGTCTAAATGTGTCTCCGCTGGTGTTGTGCGTTTTTAGAGATTCCACTTTGCAGCGGCGCGGGGCAGAGGACAGGAAGTCAGCGCTCGACGCTTGAGGTTGGAAATCAGACAAAGGGAGTTTCCTGTGAGCGATGCACTTTTTCCATCCTCCAAAAGTCTCGTCTTCATCACCACACGACGAATAAAAACACGACTGAACCAGGACTGAACCAGGACTGAACCAGGTCTAAACCAGGTCTAAACCAGGTCTAAACCAGGACTAAACCAGGTCTAAACCAGGTCTAAACCAGGACTAAACCAGGACTAAACCAGGACTGAACCAGGTCTAAACCAGGACTGAACCAGGTCTAAACCAGGACTAAACCAGGACTGAACCAGGACTGAACCAGGACTAAACCAGGTCTAAACCAGGTCTAAACCAGGACTGAACCAGGACTAAACCAGGTCTAAACCAGGTCTAAACCAGGACTACACCAGGACTAAACCAGGTCTAAACCAGGTCTAAACCAGGACTGAACCAGGACTAAACCAGGTCTAAACCAGGTCTAAACCAGGACTGAACCAGGTCTAAACCAGGTCTAAACCAGGTCTAAACCAGGACTAAACCAGGACTAAACCAGGTCTAAACCAGGACTGAACCAGGACTGAACCAGGACTAAACCAGGACTGAACCAGGTCTAAACCAGGTCTAAACCAGGACTAAACCAGGACTGAACCAGGACTGAACCAGGACTAAACCAGGACTGAAACCAGGACTGAACCAGGTCTAAACCAGGTCTAAACCAGGTCTAAACCAGGACTGAACCAGGACTGAACCAGGTCTAAACCAGGTCTAAACCAGGACTGAACCAGGACTGAACCAGGACTGAACCAGGACTAAACCAGGACTGAACCAGGACTGAACCAGGTCTAAACCAGGTCTAAACCAGGTCTAAACCAGGACTGAACCAGGACTGAACCAGGTCTAAACCAGGTCTAAACCAGGACTAAACCAGGACTGAACCAGGACTGAACCAGGTCTAAACCAGGTCTAAACCAGGACTGAACCAGGTCTAAACCAGGACTGAACCAGGACTAAACCAGGCCTAAACCAGGTCTAAACCAGGTCTAAACCGGGTCTAAACCAGGTCTAAACCAGGACTGAACTAGGACTAAACCAGGACTGAACCAGGTCTAAACCAGGTCTAAACCAGGACTGAACCAGGACTGAACCAGGTCTAAACCAGGTCTAAACCAGGACTAAACCAGGTCTAAACCAGGTCTAAACCAGGACTAAACCAGGTCTAAACCAGGTCTAAACCAGGACTGAACCAGGACTAAACAGGTCTAAAACCAGGTCTAAACCAGGACTAAACCAGGTCTAAACCAGGTCTAAACCAGGACTAAACCAGGACTAACCAGGTCTAAACCTAAACAGGTCTAAACCAGGACTGAACCAGGACTAAACCAGGTCTAAACCAAAACCAGGTCTAACCAGGACTAAACCAGGTCTAAACCAGGTCTAAACCAGGACTAACCAGGACTAACCAGGTCTAAACAGGTTCTAAACCAGGACTGAACCAGGACTAAACCAGGTCTAAACCAGGTCTAAACCAGGACTGAACCAGGAAACCCAGGTCTAAACCAGGTCTAAACCAGGACTAAACCAGGACTAAACCAGGTCTAAACCAGGACTGAACCAGGACTGAACCAGGACTAAACCAGGACTGAAACAGTCTAAACCAGGTCTAAACCAGGACTGAACCAGGACTGAACCAGGACTGAACCAGGACTAAACCAGGACTGAACCAGGACTGAACCAGGTCTAAACCAGGTCTAAACCAGGTCTAAACCAGGACTGAACCAGGACTGAACCAGGTCTAAACCAGGTCTAAACCAGGACTGAACCAGGACTGAACCAGGACTGAACCAGGACTAAACAGGACTAAACCAGGACTGAACCAGGTCTAAACCAGGTCTAAACCAGGTCTAAACCAGGACTGAACCAGGTCTAAAACCAAACCAGGACTGAACCAGGTCTAAACCAGGTCTAAACCAGGAAACCAGGTCTAAACCAGGACTGAACCAGGACTAAACCAGGCCTAAACCAGGTCTAAACCAGGTCTAAACCGGGTCTAAACCAGTCTAAACAGGACTGAACTAGACAAACCAGGACTGAACCAGGTAAACCAGGTCTAAACCAGGACTGAACCAGGTCTAAACAGGTCTAAACCGGGTCTAAACCAGGTCTAAACCAGGACTGAACCAGGACTAAACCAGGACTGAACCAGGTCTAAACCAGTTCTAAACCAGGACTGAACCAGGACTAAACCAGGTCTAAACCAGGACTAAACCAGGACTAAACCAGGACTGAACCAGGTCTAAACCAGGTCTAAACCAGGTCTAAACCAGGACTGAACCAGGACTGAACCAGGTCTAAACCAGGTCTAAACCAGGACTGAACCAGGACTAAACCAGGACTGAACCAGGTCTAAACCAGGTCTAAACCAGGTCTAAACCAGGTCTAAACCAGGACTGAACCAGGACTAAACCAGGTCTAAACCAGGTCTAAACCAGGACTAAACCAGGACTGAACCAGGTCTAAACCAGGTCTAATCCAGGTCTAAACCAGGCCTAAACCAGGACTAAACCAGGACTGAACCAGAACTAAACCAGGTCTAAACCAGGTCTAAACCAGGACTGAACCAGGACTGAACCAGGTCTAAACCAGGTCTAAACCAGGTCTAAACCAGGACTAAACCAGTACTAAACCAGGTCAAAACCAGGACTAAACCAGGACTGAACCAGGACTAAACCAGGACTGAACCAGGTCTAAACCAGGTGTAAACCAGGCGGACAGGTGACCGTTGGAAGAGTCAAACATTTGAGAGTCGACCTTTGAGTTTCAAAGGTCAAAACTCTTCAAGGAATAAACTCAATTCTCAAAACTGATTCAAAATATTTTTAATTTCAAATACAGTTTCATTGACAAATACAGTGTCAAAGTTAATTCAAGCTAAACCAGGTCTAAACCAGAACTAAACCAGGTCTAAACCAGGTCTAAACCAGGTCTGAACCATTTTCCATCCTCCATGAGACGTTCTTCATCGCCGTTGTCACACTCATAATAAAAACACGACGCCTCATTGTGAAACGTCTGAGCGCCGACAGGTGAACGCCACAAGAGTCCAACGGTTGAGAGTCGAACGGTTGAGAGTCGAACGGTTGAGAGTCGAACGGTTGAGAGTCGTCACGAAAATAAAAGGTCAAAAAGTCTTTAAGGAATCAACTCGATTATTTATTTCAGAGAATAGAATGTGATTTCCAACATTTAAAGACTCCTTCCATGATTTTGTGATAAGTTTGTGATATTTTCTTATCACAAACCGACCTGGAGTTGTGTTTTCTTGTTGGAAATGTGGACAGATGAATAATAAATGAAATAAAACACAACTCCACGTCGCTTTTTAACCATTTTTTTAAACTCTCTGTTGACTGAAGTTGGCAAAATATGAATAAAATGGCAGATTTTGCCATTTGCCAAGATAAATCAGGTCTAAACCAGGACTGAACCAAGTCTAAACCAGGTCTAAACCAGGTCTAAACCAGGACCAAACAAGTTCTAAACCAGGATGAAACTAGGACTAAACCAGGATTAAAACATGATGAAAATATGACTAAACCAGGATTAAACCAGGTCTAAACCAGGACTAAATCAGTACTGGCCCAGGTCTAAACCAGGACTGAACCAGGATGAAAATATGACTAAATCAGGCCTAAACCGAGTCTGAATCGGGACTAAACCAGTTTTAAACCAGGACTAAAATGTCAAAATCAAACGTTTTAGGAAAAATCTTGTGTCGTCTGAAGGATTAAATTTCTAAAACATCCCACCAGAGTAAATGTGTGTGTAAATATTGTAGAGTTTAGTGGTTGTATTTTCTTTTACATCCTCGTGCGCTTTTTTTTTTTATCTCTGTTAAATCTAGTTTCGACACAAGTGTTAGTATCGACTCAGATCAG